AAAACCATGATCCACTGAGCTGCCTTTCTTGATGTTTCAGGCTTTCAGCCTCCTGAGCGAGCTCCTGAGTGAGCCTCCATAGCTCCTTGACATCCCTCCCCCTTATTCATTAATCATTAATTAAGCTAAACTACTTATTATTCATAGTGTCTATCCCTATGGATAGTTTCCAGGAACAGTTACACCTAACTCCGGACAACTATCCAGGAACAATAGGATAACCGGGTGAACCAGTGTTGCTGGTACTCCTCCCATATCAACCTATTCAATGTATGCCATGCTTGACTCCATCCACAACCACACCCACCTGCACAAGATACGTGACTTGTGTGAGTAGTTTTTCTTTTTATAGCAATAAGGTTCAATTAATGACCCACCCACTGATCATGACCTAGTAAAACTTTGTATATTCTAGTAATCTTGTTACATCTCTCTAACCTTTCCTCTTGTGTAGTTTCACATTATATAATACAAGTTCCTCATCACAAATGATTGTACAATCTAAACCAAATTAATACAAATACATTAATTATTATAGTACAGTATTATACATGTGCAAACAGTTCTTCATTGAAGAGCACATTTTGAGCTGATTTAAGTATCTGCTCCCATGGAGTTAACACCAACTGTTGCTTATGAAGCTCAATGAAACAAGACGGCAACAAAGAATCAAGAGAAACAACCTCTGGAACAAAAACCACATGAACATGTACACATAGATGACATGTACAATCATGTGATAGTCATGTGACATACCATTACCTTTAATAGGTCTGTCTGCTAGGAATATAACTACTTCACTCCTTCCTCTTAATTCTTGAGGTACCACTACTGACAGTATATCATTAGTACCTTCAATTCCTTTATGAACCTCAAACTGAACTGACTGAGCATACAGTGAACCAGCTGCAATAAATAATGACAGTAATGATTCATCAAAAAATGACTAGGAGAGAATCCTTCATTATTATAACTTTTCTGATACATATACAAGTTCTTATGTTCTGTAGCGAGTTTGAGCTAATTTCAAACAAAATTGGACTTTATATGAATTTTAAAATTATTCAGAAATCAAGCCAAAAACCCTGCACAGGGTCATTGGCCAAATTTTGCCAAAAATGAAATAGTGAGAATTTTCCACTTTTATAATTATTCCTGATGCATATACAAGTTCTCATGTTGCATAGCAATTTTGAGCTGATTAGCCTGATTTCAATAAAAATTAGAATTTTTACAAAATTTTTAAAGTCCCTTCATACTATAGTACCCATTACTGTTATACTGTGTGTGTGTGTTATACTTCATTACAATTAAGTTACCTGATCT